ATAAATCAGTGAAAAATCTAAAAAGCAATATTTTGAAAAACAATAGAAAAAAAAGTCAAGAGGGAAAAGCAGTAAAAGGAAGAAGATATATGGGATTTGCTTTGTTAGTGTTCAAAGCCTCTTGTGTAATGTGTAAGTCAGGTCTGTGGAGGTTTGAGAACAGTTAGAAAAATCCTATACATGCATATTTAGCCAAGGAACAATTTTTATTTCTTACAGTCAAAAGTTCTGGGGAAAAAAAAAAAAGGAAAATTCAGCTTGTCTCATTCTATATTTTCTTTCATTTTTACTGTTATCCTTTCCAGATAACTTTCATAAAGATTATCTTATTTATCTCCCCTCTCTTAATGTTTGTGGGATAAAACAGGCACATTTGTAAAATGTGTTTATTTTTTCTAGTAACTCAAATCTTGTTTTATGCGACTTTTTGAAAGAAGCATCTCACTTTCAGATCCTTTTCTCTTTGTAACTTTAGACTGCATTGTCCCCTCACCCACTAGTTTTTAATAACTTGAGATTAAACATTATCAAAGAGCCTCACTCATTTCTTAGGAATAAAGGTACCCAAGAATCTAATGAAGAATGTAATGGGGGAAGAGTTCTTTTTGTATGTGGAATTTCAACCTGCAGAGTACATATAATGGGAAAAAAAAAGGGAGAAAAAACTTAATCATAGGGCAGAAAATAAATAAATTTCACTGGTAACATTACACATACTTCAGGAAAACAGAATGAAGAGCATGGAGGTTACAGCAAATCCAGATTACAGCCACTCTCCTCTCTTAGGCAAGGAGGGGAGTAACAACCAAACAACAAAGTGGTTCGTGGTGGGGACAGGTGAAAGGAAGTGAGTGGTAAGAAGGAAAGAGAAAAGAGAATGCAGGAAAAGGGGGGGGGGTACATGAGGGTAAATGCTAAGGGGAGGGAGGAGAAAAGAAGGGATGGAGGAGAAAAGAAGGGATGGAGGAGAAATACAGGCATAAGAGGAGGGGAGGGGTAAAGAAGGAAGAGATAACAGGAGAAAGGGAAGGGTAAAGAAGACAAGAGAGTGAAGAGAGCTGAAATGGGGTGGGGGGGCGGGGAAAGAAAGAGGTGGAAGATGGAAGGGAGAGACAAAAGAAAGAACAGGAAGGGAGAGAAAAGGTTAAAGACTCAAGTGGTTAGGAGGAAGTAAGGAGTGTATAGGTACGTGCCTGTGCGGGGGGCAGACTACCAAATTATGTTCTATATGACTATAAAAATAACTTTTTCAACAAAATAATCTTCCCATCCAAGACAAGCCCACCAAATATATGAAGTTGTTCAGAATATTTTCTTAGAATAGCTAATTATACATAGCTAACGCTAATTTACTATGTGTTAGGTGTTTTTTGTTTTTTCTCCTCACAATCATTCTATTCCCATTTTCCAGATGTGGAAATTAAGGCAGAGAGGTTAAGCTTGCCCTAATGGTAGTATAAAGATAAAAAACCAGGCAGTTTCATTTAAGGATATATCTCTACAACATATTTAGTGAACATTTAAATACTATGCATTAGTGCAACTGATGTAATTTGAGACTTAAGAACTATGCTCCAATGTTTCTAAGGAAAATTAAGTTCTTCATTATCTTAAAAAAATAAAGAGTAAGAAAGAACAGGATTTTCCTACATTTAAGCCAAAATTAACCAATTAATTTACAAAATAAAACTTGTGAGGGGCTTTATACCTCTAGGCCAGAAAGGCTTCATCCAAAACTTATCTTTTAACTTCTCTATGGTGGACTCAACAGAAAATGAGAATAGTTTTAAGATAATGCTGGTTTACATCTATTGGCTAATTCATATAAAACTACAGTAAACTAGTTTTTTGAAACCTGAGTACTGGCATAGGTATTATTTATAGCATGTGAAATTTAGCTGGGAACTAGGACAATTCACTGAAAATTCTATTTGCAATTTTAGTAAAGGAAATTAGTATTTTTGAGCTTCTACCAAATGTGCCAGGGGCTGTGGTTCCTTTCACATGTCAAATTTAATTTTTTTTAATGTTTATTCATTTTTTGAGAAAAAGAGAGAGAGCACAAGTGGTGGTTGGGGGGTGGGGGGTTGGCACAGAGAGAGGGATACAAAGAATCTGAAGCAGGCTACAGGCTCTGAGCTGTCAGTAGAGCCCCACGCAGGGCTTGAACTCATGAATTGCGAGATCATGACCTGAACCAAAGCCAGATGCTTAATTGACTGAGCCACCCAGGAATCCCTGTCAAATTAATTCTTTAAAAAAAATTTTTTTTTAATGTTTATTTATTTTTGAGACAGAGAGAGACAGAGCATGAATGGGGAGGGTCAGAGAGAGGGAGACACAGAATCTGAAGCAGGCTCCAGGCTCCGAGTTGTCAGCACAGAGCCCAACGCGGGGCTCGAACTCACAGACTGTGAGATCATGACCTTAGCCGAAGTCAGATGCTTTAACCAACTGAGCCACCCAGGAGGCCCTCAAATTAATTCTTAAGTCAAGTCATTAGAATAAGTTTTTGTTGCTGTTTTTTAGCCCCCAGAGTAAAAAATAAGTTATTGCTGATTACATTTAAAACTGCAAAACTACATAGTTGCTTTGGGTTGCCCTTTTTTTACTAAAAATATTAATATATAAATACTACACAGTTAAAGTTCAAACCATATACTTTGAAAACTACTTCATACTTATATTTTAGTAGTACAAAATTCTACTTTATTCTTTAATTATATGTAAGTCTGATACTGAAAACAACAAAACAAACTGAACCTAAAATAAACCAGCAGAAAACACATTACTAGTTGCAGTCCAGGAATCATGATTAACTCATTTCTCTATGAAGTAATCATCTCACTCTAGCAAGTAAATAATCTTATCCTGAGGCAGAAATGTTACATGGTTAATTTTTTTAAGACAATTCATGAATACCATATTTAGTATCTAAAATACTGGTGTGAAACAACATTCAACAATGAACACATTAAGTCCCATTATATAAACATAGTAAATATAAATTTAGAACTACAATATTTACAGCACCACTTCAGTTGCTATTCCTATCTACGGACAGGAAGATTCCTGTCTAAACCCCTAAAACCTTGCATGCTTACTAATGCAAATGTTCGTTTACCTCTTTAGTTTCAACAATACTTTTGAAAGAACTATTGGAATAAAATACCGAAAGTACTAAAAGATTAACTACACCCCTTATTAAATGCAGTGAGGGGGTATTCTGTTCCAATAAAGAAGCCAAGTCTGTTACAGATTGTACCATCTGGTAGAAGAGAAGCTGTATCTGAACAACTGTAGATACACCCAGCAGCTCCTTAATAATCTATATGACCTAAGCAAAATCTACCTCAAATCATAGAGCTATTAATCATTTTTAGGGGCATATTACCTATTCCAAAACCTAAAAGAGGAAACAATTCTATTCACCAATTGTCTTAAGAAATTTGAGAACCCCTCACCTCCATTTCTTAAAAAGTGCCATCAATGATTTAATAAAGGCGATATTTCATCTACTTCAAGTTTAATTCTTATTTTTTTTATTAGCATACATTCACATTTAAGAGGGCTTTTTTTTTTGATGAAACTGCAAATCTGAGTTTAAATTCTTAAAATGCAACGGGCTGCTGACGTGCTACACATTCTCTTTATAAAGAGCTTCCAAGCTTTCACAATGGCTTCCAAATAATCTGATGCCAATATTCAGATTTTAGCGGTAAAAAGAAAACCTAGTGAAATAAAGGCGCTGGAAAATAATATTCTGTGGAATGCAAAATCATTCTATCTCCAAACAGAGTCTAATCTTTTCGTAACTACATGGCCAGAATTTAAAATATTTGCACTGCGATACATTTGGCATCTATTGAACACACACACACACACACACACACACACACACACACACACGGCATGACTTCAGATTAATGCAATGCTTTCTATGTTTAAAATGAAAGAAGAATGTTCAAAAACAGTCAGCAAATCTTACCACTCATTTTGTTTTTACAGTAGCAGCAGAGAACAAGAAAATCCAACAAGGAAACAGCGTAGTACACGTTAACAGCTTTAATTGGAGAACGGTTCTGCTTTTTTTTTCCCCCAAGCAGCGAGAGGAAAAGATCCTTTGACCGAGTCATGTGATACTCATCACGTGACTTGCAGTGACCCGCGGAAAGGGAAGAGGAGGAAAAAAAAAAAAAAAAAAAAAGCAAACATTCCTGCCGCCAGCGTTTGGGCTATAGTAAATGATTAAATGGTTTTTACTGCTGCCACCTCGAATTTGAAGATCTTTCAGACTTCCTCCTGAAGTAACTCAAAAGCTCATTAAAATACACATACAGAAATACATATCTGATGTAAAACAGTACTCTGTTTTCATTTATCTCCTGTTAACATCACAGGCATTTGTTTTCATTTATCTCCTGTAACATCACAGGCATTATTTTCTAATTGTTTTTATTATCCAGACCGCTACCTCCATTTAGAAAGTTTAAGATACATATAACATTTAGTAATTTAGCAGGTTTGCTCTGAAATGTCCTTCTGTTAACTTGATCCACTCTCCATGCTCAACCCTTAAAGAATGCCCACAGCACACAATGGTCTATAGAATATAGGCTTGATCAATGTGTTCCTCAAACGTGGGATTCATGTTTCAGATTGGCATTTGCCTCTCAAGTTAATAAAGGGTATCACTTTAAGTGTTGGTTTCATTTTTATTTTTTTTAATTTTTTTTTCAACGTTTATTTTTATTTTTGGGACAGAGAGAGACAGAGCATGAACGGGGGAGAGGCAGAGAGAGAGGGAGACACAGAATCGGAAACAGGCTCCAGGCTCTGAGCCATCAGCCCAGAGCCCGACGCGGGGCTCGAACTCACGGACCACGAGATCGTGACCTGGCTGAAGTCGGACGCTCAACTGACTGCGCCACCCAGGCGCCCCAAGTGTTGGTTTCATTTTATTTCTGATTTTGTTTTGTTGTTTGTATGTTTATTTTAAGACTTAACCTGGACATTAATACAGATGCCTGGTGGATGGCATTGTCACTCATGTTGAAGAAATCTTCAAAGACAGGCCATGATTCAGGCTCAGAACACCCTACCCAAGCTCCCATAGAGACCAAAGATGTTGTTACAAGAGAGGAGAAGACTGTAAGAACTTTTGGAGGTCTTTTCATTACTTATGGTACTATGTAAGCTAAGGAAATGTGTTAATAGTTAATATAAATGTGTAAGTAATGATAATGATTGCGATTTGTTTACAAGTTGCCCAGTGGAAAGAAAATATATTTTGGTAACAGAAGATTTAAGTTTTAATAAAAGCTTCAATATTTTTTAGCAAGGCAATTTATTGCTCTTCTAGTCTGTTTCCTTCCATAAAAAGGTTAAAATTATCAACCTTGTAGCACTGTTGTGAGATTCAAATTAGGTGTATTTAAAGTACTGAGTACTTCTTTCTCATAACGATTTCTCTTTCCTCAACAAATGATAGCTATTATTTGTTTGTTATATTATTATAAATAAAAGTATGATTACTACATGTTTTCAAAAACAATTATATATTGCAGAGTATGTGCCAGGTATCATTCAGAGTGTTTTACATGTGGTAACTCAATCCTCACAATAACTGAAGTAGGCATCATTTATAGGTATGGAAACTGAAGCAGAATGCAGTTAAGTATCTTGCCAAAGGCACACAATGAGGCAAAGTCAGGGTTATCTAATAAGAAGGCTATATTTAAAAAAATTATGTACACCACATTCAAAGCCTCCTCTCCCGAGAAGATGGAAAAGAACTAGCAAGGGGTTATTGGAGAAACAGGTTTCAATAAATACACGCCAGGGACTCCAGAGGAGATAAGATACTAACAGACTATTCTCAAAAGTGGCAAAGAGTAGTTGTTTTTTTTTTTTATTTAAAAAAAAATTTTTTTTTCAACGTTTATTTATTTTTGGGACAGAGAGAGACAGAGCATGAGCCATCAGCCCAGAGCCTGACGCAGGGCTCGAACTCACGGACCGCGAGATCGTGACCTGGCTGAAGTCGGACGCCCAACCGACTGCGCCACCCAGGCGCCCCAAGAGTAGTTGTTAATTTCAAAGTTCCTACTAAAAGGCAAGGCTGCCTTGAAGAACTAGGCCTGAGAGTAGAGAGTCCTGGTCTCAACAGAATCTGCTTGTAAATTAGCCTCTCAGCAAATCTAACCATACCTCTGATTTTCAGTCCTTAAACAAAAGGCAAGCCCCTCAGCCCACTTCCTCATTTTTGCTCATGTTCTCACACAGCTATGTTTCCACTTCTTGACTTTTTCTTTGATTGATGATCTTTTCAGGTCTTTCCACTGTGTTCATTCGAACCTTTCCTCCCCCCCCCCCCATTATAAGTAAATTCCCCTTTATTCTCAACAATTTCACAGAACACCTATTAATGTGTTTCTTTGAAATGAAACCTGGCTCCCCCCAGGACAGCTTTGCCAGCAGTCCCTGGGAGTAGAGGCTTCCTATTCTCTCCTGAGGCAGTCTCCAGATACTCCAAGGCTGCTTCCCATTACCACTATTGTTCCAGTTTCAGGCTCAAGTTTCTTCTTCCTTGAGATCATGTCATATAAATATAGGACATGAAGTTCTACCGCTTCTCATTGTTGTTCTCATTTACTGAGAACTATGGCAGCACCATGTTCACAGTTTTTTCCCTTCTATCCTACTCTAGCCCATCAGCACAATGACTTTAATGTCCAAAAATCTTAGCCTCAAATTTTCATGAACTCTTCCATTCTGTTTTTAGTAATCCATCTTCAAAGATACATCTTGGAACTTATCACTTAAAATTCTACAATCTCATCTTTGAAATCCCAACTTTCATGTTTCAGTATCTGGCCACCACATCTATCTTTCATCTCTCCAGTTTTCTCTTTGTTCTACAATATTTGTTCTTTCTCATAATGATTTCCCTTTCCTCCTGATTGAACACTATCTTCATTGCCTGATTTCCTTTCCCATCGATGTCTTTCTTTTACATCCCCTCCCTCCAAATCCCTAATTTTAATGAAATAATTAACTTCTCTTCTCTTAGATCTGAACTGTAGAAATCAAATGACATTCAGACTGTCATGTTTATAAACATAGTTATCTCCAACCTTAACTTAGCCATCAGCATTGCTCAGGAATCCTTTTAGGAATTTATCCCTGGTTAATCACCTATCCTGTTTTTTAGAGTGATTATCAGAGATCTCCACCACCCTTTAAGGACTTCCCCCAACCTCACCTCAACCATGTATGTCAACATGAAATTGAACTATTTCAATGTTACTTATAAACTTTTCTCACCTCTTTCTTCTATTTTCAGCAGAATCAGTGTCCCTTCACGAGGTCGAAGTTACCACTCCACTTCCATTTTTTTTTTAATTTAAAAGTTTTTAATGTTTATTTATTTTTGAGAGAGAGAGAGAGGGACAGAGAAAGAGCATGAGTGGAGTAGAGGCAGAGAGAGGGAGACACAGAATCCAAAGCAGGCTCCAGGCTCTGAGCTGTCAGCACAGAGCCCCATGTGGGGCTTGAACTCATGAACTGGGAGATCATGACCTGAGCTGAAGTCGGATGCTTAACCGACTGAGCCACCCAGGCGCCCCGTCCACTGCTATTCTTGATCTAATTTCCATTTCATACTCCACTAGCTCTTTGCTGTACTGGTTATTTCTGTCCCGTTCAGTATTTTCAACTGTCTTCATTATTTCTAATGCTTCTAACAAGACTTAGCTCTCCATCTTAATTATTCTCAACTATCCGCACAGTTGCCATAAAGTTTTAATGCCTAGGATTGATTAGTGGCATGGTCCATACTTTCAAGAACTTTACAGTTATAATAAGGACAATGCAAGGTATACATATTTTATGTGTCCTAAATACCTTGTTAATTCATGAATGTGCACCAAACAATTTTCCTAGAGGAATAAACAAACAGGATGCATCAAGAACACTACAATTACAGGAATGCATTATGCAGTGATGACCATATTCTTCATTTTCCCTTTCTTAGCTGATTATATGACAATTCCAGCAAATTTAAAATGCACCTTTTATTTTCAAAACACTCTCCAACATTTTGCAGACGGTTCTCTTAAATCAATTGTATGACATGTCACAGCAATTGTTTGTACTTTTTGATAATGTTTTAACACATTAACTATTAGCATTCTTGTAGGTTTGTCAATACAAGCACTAGGTGACACAGGGATGACTTTGTTTATAAGCACTTATTAGGTACCAGGCACTGGTCTAAGTGCTTTACAGATATTAACTCATTTAATCTGCATAATATCCATCTGATATGGAATAACTATTATTTCCATTTATAGGTAAGGAAACTAAGATACAAAGAGATTAAGTAGCTTGCAAGGTCTCACATCTAGTAAGCTGTCAACAGAATTAGGTGGTCTAGCTTTGAAATTTATGTTCTTCACCATTACATTATACTGTCTCTTGTTTAGGACATAACAAAAATATTACAAATTATAAAATAAATGAGAAAATTGCAGCATAATTATACCAAGATTCACTTGAAGATAAATTACAAATAGAAAAGCACTGAATATTTGGATGGAAGACCCCATGTAACACACCCCAAATATCTGCTAGTTACAGAATAAAAACAAAGCAAAATGTACCTGAATGTATCTCACTGAAACTGCTGTGAAGAAGTTTCTAGTGAGTGATGTCTCATATGGAAAACAGTGAATTACTTTAAAAAAAAAATTTTTTTTAATGTTTATTTATTTTTGAGACAGAGAGACAGAGCATTAACAGGGGAGGGTCAGAGAGAGAGGGAGACACAGAATCCGAAGCAGGCTCCAGGCTCTGAATTGTCAGCGCAGAGCCCGACGCGGGGCTTGAACTCACGGACCGCGAGATCATGACCTGAGCTGAAGTCGGATGCTTAACCGACTGAGCCACCCAGGCGCCCCAACAGTGAATTACTTAATAGCCAAACCTGTTCCAAAAGTAATTTAAGGAGATTTAAGAGAAACAAAAACAAAAGCTAAAAACAAAAAACAAAACCCACTCAAAATAACAAAACCCAAAACAAAATAGCTGACAAACTGAAGAAAAGGGAAAATTTAGAAAAAAATAATATAAATAGGGAGTGAAGCTGGTCTTATGTCTTCCCTAGAGCTGGGCCATAAAATCTCTTTGGTTTGTATGAACTGAAATATGGTTAAAATTAAGACACCAAGAACCACATTGTCAAGCTAGTTAATGCAGATAAAGCATGTCTCATACTGCCATAGAGCACAGCAATGATTTGGCTTGAAAAAACTAAAGTAGGTATAACCCCATGCTGACTTCTCTCATATATAAAATTCAGTAATGCATCAATAAATGTCTAACTTTAAACAATGTATCCTCAAAAATGGTTGCAAAATAAACAGCTAAGATAGCAAGACAGCTGAATCAGCGGACTTGCAGAAAGGGATTGCTAGTTATAAGGCAAATTAAAGTTGACTTTCATTTTATAAAATTTTTTCTGCCAACAAATAACCAAGATCAGGTGCTTATTAAGGCTGCTTTTAGACTGTAATATGTCTGGGTCATTGCATGGTAGAAAACAAGAGCCAGACTCATTCAACCCAGTGGTTTCAAATCATTAAGACATGAATTTAAGAGTGGGGATGTGAGATATATCTCATTCTACTCTACGAATATATATCTAATCCTTCAAAAGACTGACTCTGACCATGACAGTAATCCTGATTCTTGTGGTAATATTAAGGTACAGGTTCTCAATGAACATCTAAGTAACATATGTTAAACTCATGCAGCTTAGATTATAACTGATGCATGTCCATGCAGACAAGGAAACTAGGAAAGGTCAATGATATCTGCAACTAATCAGGTCCTCTAGAGGGAGTCTCTTGCTCAGCAGTAACTGACAGTGACATATGCAAATAATCTCAGGAAGATAAGGGGGGCAAAGAATTAGAACCTGTAACTTTACTCTTGGGCACAAGTCAAACTTTCTTTTAAATCTCTCTTATTTGCTTGTCCATATTTCTCCTCTTTCCCCTTTTAGGGGCCTTAGTCACCTTGCAGATCTGGCCACACAGTAGCATTTTCTTTCTCTAATAATTTCCCTATTTATATTAAATTAAAGTATCAATTTAATAAAAGTTTTACTTTACACAGTTCATGCCAATGGAAAGCAAATGTGAGGATCATCCAAAAACCAGGTATGTTTTGGATTGACTGGGGTTGAGGGCAGCTGGATGAAGTTAGGAGGCGAGATATTAGACAAAGATTGATCAATAGAACAGAGATATCTATAGCTATATTTATGTTCTAATACAGTATTTCCCAAGTAGTTTGATTTATGTGCCAGTAAAATTTTAAAACAAATTCTGGGGACTCATTAAGGTAATTAGCTTTTACAATTTTTAATTTTTAGGGCGACTGGGTGGCTCAGTTGGTTAAGTGTTCGATTTCAGCTCAGGTCATGATCTCTCCATTCCTGAGTTCGAGTCCCCGCATCAGGCTCTGTGCTGACAGCTCAGAGCCTGGAGGCTGTTTCAGATTCTGTCTCCCTCTCTCTCTCTCTTCCCCTTCCTCACTTGCACTCTGTCTCTCTCTCTCCCAAAAATAAACATTAAAAATTTTTTTAAAAATAAAATTTTTAATTTTTTATATTTTTACATTTGAGAGAGACAAAAAGCGAGGAGGGGGCAGAGAAAGAGAGAAAGAGAGACAGATAGAGAGAGAGAGAGAGAGAGAGAGAGAGAGAGAGAGAGAGAATCTTAAGCAGGCTCCATGCTCAGCACAGAGCCCTACAAGGAGCTCAAAGTCACTACATGACCTGAGCCAAAATTAAGAGTTGGATGCTTAACTGACCAAGCCACCCAGGTGCCCCAGTAATCAGCTTTTTATTAAACCAAATTATGACCTTAAAAGGAAAGAAGAAAGAAATTAAGAACAGAAGGAAGTCTATTCTATATTACCACATCATTCATAAAGAAAGTATGTTTTAACCTCAAAACTGAAGGGATTTAACTTCAATAAATTTAGTTTAATGAAAAACCACTATATTATCCTTATTTTTCCCATTTCTCAGACTGGTGAAATTTCCCCAAATCTATGGACAAGGATTTGGGAATAACTCTTAATAGTAAGAGAGATAAGGATTTGTTTTCGAGGCTGGCTAAGTTCTGGTAATGCAAGAGGGAGAACACAGTAGAGGTAGGATAACCGTATTATCATCATCCAAATGAGGACACTTCTGAAAGTGAAAGAGGGGCCTAAAAATTATTAAAATTATGTAGCTCTTTATTGATTGACAAATTGCTTTTATTACATTGAAGGGCATGAAAAGCTCTATTAAAAATGTTAAAAAATAAAATGCTTAATTAAAAACATGCAAGTACATTAAAGAATATTTTACAGACTCCTTTATATTGAATATCTGGATATTAAAATAGTGTTAGAACAGTTATTTTTAGTACATATCCATGTAGTTTAGTAAATCTGTTAGCTATATGTGTCTTTAATTCCATATCCCTGGTCTTTAACAGAAAATTTTTTTTAAGTATAGTCTCATTTTTAATTTTTTCATAAAACTGCCTGCAAGTATTATATTTTATGGTTAATAACTTTGAAACTGTTGACACATTTAATTGACTCTTTTCCATAATATTTTAATTTAAGACTACAATATTTATATTCTGGGAATACTCTTGATTCTTAGGTGCCATCTGGTAAGATCTGAGCAAATTCTGCTAAATAGATGCTATTCATAATTCTATTCTTTTCTTATTGAAATGTGTAAATATCTCAGTCCAATTATTTTCACTGGACCACAATTACCTCCAAATTTCAACAAAACTCATTGAATTGCCTCCATTTATGGTTCTTTTAAATATTTAACCAAATTTAGATTTTTTTTTTAGCTCACTGTTGCTGAAAGGGTTTACTTCAAAATAAAAAAAAAATCACTGCCAATAATAAGTAGTTATAGATTTATACAATAAATGACAAAACCATTCAGACTTTTTTCCATATATATATATTCAGTGGCAGGGAGATTTAGATTTTATTTCCTGCATGTACTTTACATTCATCTAACCTATACGCTTCCCAATGGTTACCTCATGACGCCAAGTGGCCAGTAGGGGCAGCAGCATCACATACTTCTTCAGCAGCCACCACTATGAGGAGACTGAAAGGAGTCAGCTGACCCTAGCCCTCTAGATCTAAGTACTTTGCTTTACTTCTAAGTACCTTAACTGCTGTCCTTGACTTGCTTCTGGTAAGGGTTAGAAAAAAAGAAACAATTTACTCTAGTTGCCTTTAAGATTTAATCATAGGTTAAAGTGAAAACAAGAGATGGATATACTGCTTACTAGAGGGGGTCATGGCAGAAGCCAGAAATACAAAATGGTAGATGACCAGATGCATTACAGATTTTTTTTTTTAAAGTTTATTTTCATTTATTTTGAGAGAGAGAGAGGGAGAAAGAGAGAGAAGGGGAGGGGCAGAGACAGGGAGAGAGAATTCCAAGCAGGCTCTGTGCTGTCAGCACAGAGCCTGATGTGGGGCTCGAACTCATGAACACTGTGAGATCATGACCTGAGCAGAAACCAGAAGTCATACTCTTAACCGAATGAGCCACCCAGGGATCCCGCATTACAGTTTATTTTAATGAAACACTAAATTATACTCTGTTAAACAATGAAAACCCTGGAGCAAATGTTGAGCTGGCTGGACACCAAGATGAGAGTTATATATATACTGGAACTGTCCTAGACAAACTGGGACCAAATAAAATCACCCTATTAATAGTAGATGCTTATTTGATAAGTCTACAAAACACTTGGCAACATTCACTCACTAGAGGCAGGCAATTAGCACAGGCCTTGAGTCCAGGAATTTAATAAGTTGGTGACTATAATTTGGGAACAGTAATGCTGAGAGTTACAGAAGAAAAAGAAAAGATTAAGGTCATTATTCACTGTTTAGATGTTTAAGGGCTTTTTCCTTGAAAATACATTATTCTTTTTTAAGGTTAGATAGGGGCGCCTGGGTGGCACCGTCGGTTAAGCGTCCGACTTCAGCCAGGTCACGATCTCGCGGTCCGTGAGTTTGAGCCCCGCGTTGGGCTCTGGGCTGATGGCTCAGAGCCTGGAGCCTGTTTCCGATTCTGTGTCTCCCTCTCTCTCTGCCCCTCCCCCGTTCATGCTCTGTCTCTCTCTGTCCCAAAAATAAATAAAACGTTGAAAAAAAATATATAAGGTTAGATAAAATGGATTGCTTAAATTAGGGGTCTGAGTATGATCCAGAATTATGGGTAATTTCATATATCTGTGTACAGCTAATTAAAAATTTACATAATTAGATTTGCTAGTAAGCATTTAGATTTATCAGTGATAAGCACACTAAGTAGAAAAAAGTTTGAAGGACTATCATATCATGGGTACAATTTAGTTAGCACTAAATTGAACTGTATATAGATAAAAAACTTGAAGTAGGAGATGTATTTGTCAAGTACCTGTTTCTAAAGAAGTTATTTTTAATGTTCTTGTTTAGAAAGCGACAAAGGCTGTGATAGTAACATGCATGGATGCAGCAGGTTGTGAACACTACTATTTTTAGTATCAGTCTAATGTGAACAATGATGAATCATTCTTTGTTATTCTAGTAGGAAATAGTGCTTGAGATTTTACTGCAGCACATTAGATTAACTATCTCTCAGTAACTGCACACCCACATGCTGACATCACACTGGCAGTGATATGGATCAGTGACGCAAATCCTGTCAGGATCAAACATTAAGGCCACAGAGGTTGAAAAAAAAGTGCCTACATAACAGGGCAGACCAGTCATTCAACATGCACAGACTGCATTAAATCACTACTGCTAATGTTAAAAAGGGTTATGATATTCTTTTTACATAATAGCTGAGCTTTATAATTTTAATTACAGATTTCCCACATAACCCACTCTATATATTTATCTTTAAATTTCCTTACATCTTCTGTGCTTTAAGGTCTAGATCTTTTAAAACCTGTCTTAAGGTTCTACCAGCCACTGCGTTATCCGGAAAATGGCTTCTGTAGCCACACTGTAGACAGATCTTTTGAAGAATATGCCACATTTATTTTTTTATATAAAATGCTGTGCCTGACAAATAACATTTACATTGAGATTTGGAGCAATACATTCCATGGCCTCACAATTCATAGCTACCTCAGAGTCTTTTTTCCACTATCATTTTCTTCTTTGGGCTTTCCCTATTTTTAGTTTTATTGACATGAAAATATTGATTTTTTTTATAGTTACAGATGGATTGGAGAAGATGGTTTACCACGAGTAACTATATAGAAGTTTTCAAAATATCTTCACCCTGAATTAACCCTCTTAGAGTTAGAGATCTTCACTTCCCTAACAGGAACAGAACCTATCTCTGGAGGCTTGCCACAGAATGTTCACATTCTCCTTGTAGGGTCTTCTGAGAAGAAATTAGGTGTCTACACTTAAACATTAACATTCCTTTTCCTCAAAGACTATCACTTCCCAGGAGAACTGGAAAGCTGACGGGAGATGAGAGCTGATGGTAAATTTAACAACCTTTTTGTTCTATCATCATTAATCTGACATAATCAGACTAACTTGAAAATATGCCAACGATCCTTTCCCATGCTCTCAGGCATTTACTTTCATGTTATTTCCTATGAGAAATTGTTTTTAAAAAAAGAGAGGAAAAGTAAGGGCTCTCCTTCATTCTAAGGTGGTTGTTGTTGTTTTTTTAAAACTAGTAATCATCTGAAAGAAACATTTGGAAGACATAAAAATTACTGAGATAGTTGTGTTTCTGGTTCTTTTTGAAGGGTAATCTTTAAATCTAGATTTTTCACAGTAGGAACCAAATGCTATTTCACAATTGAAAACATTGTTATACTTTTCCACTACACATGAACTTTCATCAGGAGAAGACTGGACTATAAGCTCTTATTTTTCTGTCATGATTTATGTATTTTGATCATTTGCCGTTGGCCACTATTATATCTTCCTCATCCCATCCTTCTCAGGGCAAGTCCTTACCAGCTAACATGATCTTAAATGGAAAAAAGGAGATTAAAAACTCACTGTGTTGATGGCTTGCTAAAGACTATGAAGGGAAGAAAAAACTCCCACAAAAGGAAAGACACAGATAGAGGCTTCATATCCCTTTCATTCTCTTCAAACATTACCAGACTGGGAAATACAGAGTAGATCATTTATGATGAGATTTAAGGTGAGAAAGGGAGGAGGCGTGACTCTTCCCAGGCTCTTTGCTTGTGGCCATAAAACACTTTGGAAATATTTAGATTGCAAGTTTGAGATTCCTTTTCAACCTTGTTCCCCAACCATACAGTTTGTCTCCCAAAGCAACCATTCTTTGCTTCTTGTAAAGCTTTTCAGAGATATTCTATGCATGTAAAAGCAATTATATGTATATTCTTTTAAAAATACAAATGATAATATACTATACACACTGTTCTGCACCTAATGATAGAGCTTAGAGATCTTTCCAAATGGTACATGTAGGGCTGCTTCACTTAATAGCTGCACAGTATTTCACTGTTACAATGTATCATAATTTATTTAACTACTCCCCTATTGATATACATTCAAGCTATTTTCAACCTTTTACTATTACAAGCAATGCTGCAATGAACATCTCTGTACAAACATCATTTCATAAATGTGTAAGTGTATCTGTAGGATACATTATTAGAAGTGGAATTGCTTCAGAGAAATTTACATTTTTGACATTACCAGATATCAGTTTATACTAATGTATTTCTCATTAACATACCCTTCCCAGTAGTTACCACACTTTTTGATAATTGCCAATCTGAAAGGTGAAGACAGCATCTCGATATAGTTTATTTTGCATTTTCTTATGAGTAAGGTTGAATATCCGTATTAAACTTTTAAGAAAGAACTATTTATTTTTCCTTTTCTGTGATCGGTCTGCTCCTAGCCTTTGCCTATTTCTCTACTGGATTTTCAAGGGCTCCTTATACATTTAAGAAGTTAGCTCTTTTTGATAGGCTGCAAATATTTCTATTTCTTTGTCTTTTACCTCTCTTTATGTTGTTTCCCTCCCCTCCCAAGAGGGTGGGTTAGGGTGGCACTGGGGATGAGTATCCAAACATTAGAAGTTGAAAGCCGAAGCTTAGAGTTTGCTCAAAGAGAGTGTTTCTGAAATGTGATTCTACAAAATCTGGTTTCATAAGGTACTTATATTTTTTTAATTTTTAAAATTTGTTTATTCTTTTAATGTTTGTTTATTTTTGAGAGAAAGCAAGAGAACGAGTAGGGGAGGGGTAGCGAAAGAGAGAGAGAATCCCAAGCAGGCTCCCCGCCGTCAGCACAGAGCCCAACACAGGCTCAATCCCAGGACCAGGGAGATCATATGACCTGAACCAAAATCAGGAGTTGGATGCTTAACTTACTGAGGCATCCAGGTGCCCTTATTTTTTTTCATTTTAGAGAAATAAAGTGCAAGCGGGGGAGGAGGCATTGGGAGAGAGAGAGAGAGAGAATCTCAAGCAGGCTCCATGCTCAGAGTGGAGTAGGATACAGGGCTCAATCCCACAATCCCACGACCATGACCTGAGTCAAAATCAAGTCAGAAGCTCAATCGACTGAGCCACCCAGGTGCCCCCATAAGGTACTTCTAAAAAAGGATTCTATTGTCAAAAGAGTTTAGAAGATGCTACAAATGACAAACACATCTTGAAAATTGATGATGAATGGCCTGTTAAAGGTGTTCGTAAGGTCTACGGCAAATCAATTTTATTTTCTTAAACAACGCAAATGTACTGGCTTTTTTTTACCTCCTATAATACTAACAATCTTACAGTACCTGTTATACTGCTCTAACCTTGAAGGGAATAGATAGACCTGTAGTATGTTTCTTTGTATGTTACCTTATTCATTCTTTTTTACCAATCCCATAAATGTTACACGTCTCTCATGCTTCCAATTTCAATCTCCTTTTTCTCCTTACTTTGCATAATTTACTTTAAAAGAAAAATTTTTTTTAATGTTTGTTTATTTTTGAGAGAGAGAGAGAGAAAAAGAGTGCAAGTGGGGGAGGGGCAGAGAGAGGGAGTCACAGAATCTGAACCAGGCTCCAGGCTCTGAGCTGTCAGCACAGAGCACGACACAGAGCTCGAACTCATAAACTGAAGCTTGAACTCACAAACCGTGGAGCTCGAACTCACACCTGAGTGGAAGTTGGACACTTAACCAAGACACCCAGGTGCCCCCACTTTGCATACTTTTCTTGAAGAACACAAACTCATTGCTTCAAATTACATATTGACAAATTCACAATTTCTATTCTGTGATGGTTAATTTTATGTGTCAACTGGACTGAACTAAGAGATGCCCAGATAGCTGGTAAAACATTAATCCTGGGTATGTCTATGAGGGTGTTTCCAAGAGAGATTAGCATCAATTGGTGAACTGAGAAAAGCAGATGGCCCTTCCCAGTGTGGGTGGGCAGCATCCAATCTACTGAAGGCCAGAAAAGAACAAGAAAGTGGAGGAAGAACAAATTCACTCTCTCTGCTGCCCCTGAACATCAGTAATCCTGGTTCTCAGGCCTACCATCAGCTCACTGATTCTTAGGCCTTTGGATTTGGACTGAATTTTATCACTAACTTTTCCGGTTCTCCAACTTGCAGAAGGCAGATCATGAAACTTCCTGGCCTTTAAAATCATGTAAACTAATTGCTAAAATAACTCTCTTCTGATACATATCTATGTATATCCTATTGGATCTGTTTCTCTGGATAATCCTGACTAGTACACACTCCAAGCCTTTCTTATGAGCAAGATCTATAAAACCAAAAGGTACTTTGAGCCTACCATGCTCATCGTTTCCATCTTTTTACCCAAACCAATCCTTTTTTCCTTCTACATTATTTAGCATAGTAAAAGGTGCTCTCCTCCTTTAGCTTTCTGCTCAACTGACTGAAAATTATAAATCAGCCTAGTCTCTTCTTACCCCCCACACTGAGCTCCCCACATTTCATCATTATTACTACTCTTTTGGTTATTTTCCTGTTTAAAACCCTCAGCGGCTCCCCGTTCCCTTCGGGATAAAATCCAAAATTTTTGGAGTTACATATGAAGGGATTTGTTACATAGCCTGTTTTCCTTTTTAGTCTCCTTTTCAGATACCTCTCCATGTACAATGTTCTCCAATCTATCTAATTAATCATATCTTTTCAGTCTCCTCTAATGTCCGTGCAGTATACCTTTGCACAGGTGATTCCTTCCGCCTCTAAGATATTTCTCTTTTTTTTCCCCTTATGGCTAAACATCTGTTTCTTTGAGTATCAACTTTTCCTGGAAGCACTCAACAGCTATTCCAAGCTGTGTTA